GGACTCCATACTAGCAGCACTTGCCCATTTGTCTACTAACTCATTAGCAACCTTTCCTGGACCCGGGTGAGCTATTAACTTGGTCTTACAACCCCTGATTTTGTTTTCTGCTTTCCATATGTTTTTAAGGTTAATAGTATTACCAATGGACTGAACAACAAAGTCTTGCCAGTATCTGTCCTTCGCCTCCTTTCTTACCAGACTGCATTCCCTAGCCACTTGCAACATTGTATTTTTTTCTTCATCCCTAACTCCATTTTTTAAGCATTCTTTGTGTGCATTCTGCAGTGTTCTCTCCCATCCCTTAACTTGCTGATCATTGGAATATTTACATATCTTAAGCCCAAGTGTCTTGCTTCCACTGCCCCCGTTATTTTCCCTCTCTACTAATCTTCATGTTCTCGACAATGTCCTCGTAAATACTATCAATGCAGAGAGGTGTGTATTGTTCATACCAATCTTCCATATTTAGAATAAATTTATTTTTCTGGGCTTTATTATTATTTAATCTTTTCGTTTGAACGTAGTCTGGTTTTTTTCTCCAGTGGCAATTCAACATACAAGGCAACGTGGTCACTAAGCAGTTCCCAAACAACCCGAGCCTCCCCATAATCCCCTGAGAGTTTAAAATACAGGCATAGTCAAGCCGTCCTCTCCTGATGCGAGTTGGTTCATTGTTTCCCCCAGGAAACAGGTATCTGGATCGTCTTGTGGAAACTGTAATCACTTGACCACTTTAGTAATAATACTTCCCACTGTCCCAAGGCTTATGTGTCGAGCACTAAGGTCCCCAATGACCAGTGAAGGATTAGTATATAAGCAATCAGGTAATAGTGAGCGTCGAAGCAGTTCCTGAATACAATCAAATTAACTACAATAAATTCCCCATCCCTTAATGATAATTTAACACAGACACTCTCTATACATTGTGTTTTTGACAGTGGATCTACTAATTTTGCTAGTATGGAGTTCTTAACATCAATCGATGTCCCTCTTATGTTACTTGTTATTTGTGCCGAAAAGGTGAAACCCTTAATGACCATTTAATTTCAATAAACCTTCTTTCCAATCCCCTGTCCCTTAGAAGGCTACAACATCCATATTATCTCCCATCACATAACAATGAACATCAGTAACTCTGTTTCTTAAACCATTATCCTTTCATGACAACATTTTCAGTCTAGGATGATCCATTATTAATCAATGCATTTTCTAATTCATCCCCAATAAGTTCACTAAATGATAGCCATTCATTGTATAATATCTCCCACCTCCTTACAATTTCACTGGTAAAATCAACATTGCATTTCGCGAGTGTTTTTCCAGGCCCTTGACGTTCAATATTGACCCCACTGATACTATTATTTTATTTTTAATTATAGAGTTATTCCTTTCACTCAGACTACCATCACTTACACACACTTCACTTTCCTTCATATCACCACCTATTGTTTCATTATTGTACTCAACCACTATTTCCTGACTTTCCATCACCACTGTTTTGTTACTTTCCTTTAATTTTACCTGAATGTTTAATTTTGCCTCAATGGACTAAATTCTCTGTCCAAGATTTCGAAGGAAGTCACTTACTTTTCTTATTTCAGCCCACAAATTCTGGACAATACCATTATGACCATCTTTCTGAGCCACAGTAACCACTTCTCTCACCGTTCATTGTCACTGCCGGAGTCCTGACTGCTGGTGTGGTTGCCTATTGCTGGAGCCTGACGAATTAACTATATTGCCACACGTATTCTTCCGGTTCACTGGCGCTGTTTGATGTAGACTTTTCTGTCGTTCTCCCGGTGTCTGAGTAAGAGCTCTTGCTTGCTCTGTAACAATCTCTGGCCGGGAAACATCCATACTCGGCCTCTTACTACACACAGCCGAGCTGGCGTTGTGAACACCAAAGCTGCAGCATCGGGGGACTATTTTCTCACCCAGCTGAAGTTTGTTTCTACACACATTAGAGAGGTGAGACTTTCCACAGAAACGACATCCTGGATCATGTTGACAGCGCCAAGATTTACGGGCTCGAACTTGGGGTGCTCTCTTCCCAGGCTGACTGTCCACAGCAGCTTCTGGTGGTAGGTTAGTGTGCATGAGGTAGGAAAAACGAGCCTCTACCTTTGCTGACCGTCACGTTCCTGGGCAAGTTCTCGACATTATTCTTAACTTTCGTCGACACTGATCATTCTCAGCGTTGTTCCGCATTCTTTTGTCACTTCTGTTAGTCCTACTATCACTGTCTACACTTTGCCCCAGCTCCTATCTTCTCTCCCCTAGGCAACACTTCCTAAAACTCATTCTCCACTATTGACTGCAGTTTTCTGAGTCCATGTCAAAATTGTCGTGGGGAGTAGCCAATGCCTCAGTTGTTTTATCGTCCATGCTGTTACACGCCTCAGCACCCAGCATGGTGAGAGGTGTGTAATATAAGGTAGGTATTAGTCAGTCAGTCCCCTTGTGTGTAGACTGAGCTAAACACCAAAACAAACTTCACCACTAGGCGCGGGAGCAGGTAGATCTTGACTCCACCGTGGTTAGTCTCCCCTCTCCTCCTCCTCCTCCTCTACACTTTCTCCTCCTTCCCATCCACCCACCTGACACTCTCCCCGTCCTTCCGAATCCCCCTTTCCCCTTCTCTCGTCCTCCCACCTTTTCCCTCTCTCCAACTGACCCTCCTGCAACCCTTCCCCTTCATCCTTCCCAATACCCATTCCGCTCCTCTTCTCATCCAACCTTACCACTCCCTCGTTCCACCCCTCATCCTCCCCATACTTCTCCCCTCCCCTCCCCTCCCTCCCCTTCCACCCCCATAGCCTGCACATTCCTAAAATATAATATTAGAGAGAAATGACACTACTGTATACATTAAGGAAAACAAAAATTTGCGATGAAAAACTTGTTTGTCATCTCCACCAAAATTTCTCACTTGACTAGACTTAAGAACGTGAGAGTCGGATGTGGGTGCGTGAATAATTAGCAATATTTCTTAAATCATCCAACTTAGGCCTACCCCGACCAGCCAATGTCCGTCCCGTACCCCAGACAATCTTTCCCTGCAAACTTGGGACAGACTAGCCCCAAGCGTCTGTCTTCCTACTATAGACAGACTGACAAACAGACAGACATACATATATTCTATCCTATAGGTATAGATAAGCATTATTTTCCTGTGCCAAGTAGCTGTAATTACAATATGTATTAATGTGATATAAGTTGCATTGTTCGTCATCATTGCTATCACCTCTCACTTGGACACTTGGTCCCCAGTGTGACCAGTGGTTGTTTATATGACCTCTCTCTCTCCCCAGTGTGACCAGTGGTTGTTTATATGACCTCTCTCTCCCCAGTGTGACCAGTGGTTGTTTATATGACCTCTCTCTCCCCAGTGTGACCAGTGGTTGTTTATATGACCTCTCTCTCTCCCCAGTGTGACCAGTGGTTGTTTATATGACCTCTCTCTCCCCAGTGTGACCAGTGGTTGTTTATATGACCTCTCTCTCTCCCCAGTGTGACCAGTGGTTGTTTATATGACCTCTCTCTCTCTCCCCAGTGTGACCAGTGGTTGTTTATATGACCTCTCTCTCTCCCCAGTGTGACCAGTGGTTGTTTATATGACCTCTCTCTCTCTCCCCAGTGTGACCAGTGGTTGTTTATATGACCTCTCTCTCTCCCCCCAGTGTGACCAGTGGTTGTTTATATGACCTCTCTCTCTCCCCAGTGTGACCAGTGGTTGTTTATATGACCTCTCTCTCTCTCCCCAGTGTGACCAGTGGTTGTTTATATGACCTCTCTCTCCCCAGTGTGACCAGTGGTTGTTTATATGACCTCTCTCTCTCCCCAGTGTGACCAGTGGTTGTTTATATGACCTCTCTCTCTCTCCCCAGTGTGACCAGTGGTTGTTTATATGACCTCTCTCGTTGGTTAGGTCACCTGCAACACTGTTCTTTCTTTCACCTGCAACACTGTTCTTTCTGACACCTGCAACACTGTTATTTCTTTCACCTGCAACACTGTTCTTTCTGACACCTGCAACACTGTTCTTTCTGACACCTGCAACACTGTTCTTTCTGACACCTGCAACACTGTTCATTCTGTCACCTGCAACACTGTTCATTCTGTCACCTGCAACACTGTTCATTCTGTCACCTGCAACACTGTTCTTTCTGACACCTGCATCACTGTTCTTTCTGTCACCTGCAACACTGTTCTTTCTGACACCTGCAACACTGTTCTTTCTGACACCTGCATCACTGTTCTTTCTGTCACCTGCAACACTGTTCTTTCTGACACCTGCAACACTGTTCTTTCTGTCACCTGCAACACTGTTCTTTCTGACACCTGCAACACTGTTCTTTCTGACACCTGCATCACTGTTCTTTCTGTCACCTGCAACACTGTTCTTTCTGACACCTGCAACACTGTTCTTTCTGACACCTGCAACACTGTTCTTTCTGACACCTGCAACACTGTTCTTTCTGACACCTGCAACACTGTTCTTTCTGTCACCTGCATCACTGTTCTTTCTGACACCTGCATCACTGTTCTTTCTGTCACCTGCATCACTGTTCTTTCTGACACCTGCATCACTGTTCTTTCTGTCACCTGCATCACTGTTCTTTCTGACACCTGCATCACTGTTCTTTCTGTCACCTGCAACACTGTTCTTTCTGACACCTGCAACACTGTTCTTTCTGTCACCTGCATCACTGTTCTTTCTGTCACCTGCAACACTGTTCTTTCTGACACCTGCAACACTGTTCTTTCTGACACCTGCAACACTGTTCTTTCTGACACCTGCAACACTGTTCTTTCTGACACCTGCAACACTGTTCTTTCTGACACCTGCAACACTGTTCTTTCTGACACCTGCAACACTGTTCTTTCTGACACCTGCAACACTGTTCTTTCTGACACCTGCAACACTGTTCTTTCTGTCACCTGCAGTGTTATGTTTACGAACGCTCCAAGCCTGAGTTGATTTGTTCCCACAGGCGATCTTCGCCACCCTCAACGACCTCAGCACGGAGCACTTCAGCGCCGGACAACGAGCATTCATCTACCAGGAAGTCATCGATCTCGGTAAGGCCAGAATTTTCCTATTGGTTACTCTTCTACTTTCAGATATGAACAGGCTTTAACACGAGGAAGTGAAGGCTACCATTATAGGGCAGGAATAGTACTATATCAGGAAGTGAAGGCTAACATTATAGGGCAGGAATAGTACTATATCAGGAAGTGAAGGCTACCATTATAGGGCAAGAATAGTACTATATCAGGAAGTGAAGGCTAACATTATAGGGCAGGAATAGTACTATATCAGGAAGTGAAGGCTACCATTATAGGGCAAGAATAGTACTATATCAGGAAGTGAAGGCTACCATTATAGGGCAGGAATAGTACTATATCAGGAAGTGAAGGCTACCATTATAGGGCAAGAATAGTACTATATCAGGAAGTGAAGGCTACCATTATAGGGCAAGAATAGTACTATATCAGGAAGTGAAGGCTACCATTATAGGGCAAGAATAGTACTATATCAGGAAGTGAAGGCTACCATTATAGGGCAGGAATAGTACTATATCAGGAAGTGAAGGCTACCATTATAGGGCAAGAATAGTACTATATCAGGAAGTGAAGGCTACCATTATAGGGCAAGAATAGTACTATATCAGGAAGTGAAAACAGTATCGTGGATGGCAATAGGAAGGTAAGACTACCACTTAAGAAAGATAATGCTACCAAATAAGGTAGATAAGGCTAGTACTTAAGGAAGGTAAGGCTACCACTTAAGAAAGGTAAGACTACCACTTAAGAAAGGTAAGACTACCACTTAAGAAAGGTAAGACTACCACTTAAGAAAGGTAAGACTACCACTTAAGAAAGGTAAGGCTACCAAATAAGGAAGATAAGGTGTTACGGACACTATGGGTCACAACCGGGTTCTTTGATGGTAGAACCAAAATGACAGTATCCGACCCCAAGTCGGTAGTACGCTTTCAAGTAAGTGGCTATGTAGTGCATAAAAAAAGGGAGGGGATGAACAAAACACTGTTCCTTTCGTCAATGTATTAAATATCTTTCCACCACCGTTGAGTCTATATGTACACCGTCACCATACATAATATATAAAGAACAAATAGGCTATTACTACACCTATGTACAATCCTTTCGCTCATGATATCAAACGTGCTCACGTGCAGAGTTCATCAATCCCCAGTGTTTTTTCACTGTCCAGTAGGGTATCCAACCTTACTGGGAAGAACACCGGCGAGTTCACCTATACGTGGGCCAGCCCACTGACAATGTCATGAGGTGCCTGTACCCCCACGACCGCTCTCCAGCTACTCGCTGGCAGAGTACCTCAGCCACACGCTGAGCGGGGTCACAAACCAATACAGGGGTAGCGATCCCTGGCAGCAGTCTAGCTACCAGCTAGCAGCACTACTTAACAGGAACCTCCCTGTCGTTAGTCTCTCCCCTAAGCCAGTCCCAAAGGTACGCCGATCCTTTTCAACACTTAAGCACTTGCAGCCACCACACTGCTTCATCACCGGCGGCTTACTTGGTCGTTTCCAGGACCATGTAGGGTGACTGTGGACTGCCCAAGATGAACTGCCCTCTCCAGTACCGCTGCCCCCAGACGTCACCTCTGTGGACACAAAAACGTCATCAATGACCTTGCCGGTACTGGCGAAACTAGGAACTACCACTAACCCACTGTGGAGTTGACATTGTGCTCTATAGCACACAGTAGGTGGCGCTGTTCTTGATGCGTCACCTCACCAGAGGTCACTCACAATGACCCCTCTGGCTGACCAAGGCAGGAATCTTCAGCCATTTACAAGTTTTAGATAGCCACCACCAGATAGCATTGTCCATATTACGTACGATTCCTGGGGAGTTCGGGTGCGGACTCTTAGATGGCGCTGGAACTGCCACTCTACCCTCTGACAAGGGTGAAGAGTCCGTAACATAAGGCTACAAATTAAGTTAATTAAGGCTACCACTTAAGGAAGGTAAGTCTACCATTTAAGAAATGCATGGCTACCACTTAAGGAAGGTAAGTCTCCCACTTAAGGAAGGCAAGGCTACCACTTAAGGAAGGTAAGACTACAATTTAAGGAAGGTAAGACTACCACTTAAGGAAGGCAAGGCTACCACTTAAGGAAGGTAAGACTACCATTTAAGAAATGCAAGGCTACCACTTAAGGAAGGTAAGACTACCATTTAAGAAATGCATGGCTACCACTTAAGGAAGGTAAGACTACCACTTAAGGAAGGCAAGGCTACCACTTAAGGAAGGTAAGACTACAATTTAAGGAAGGTAAGACTACCACTTAAGGAAGGCAAGGCTACCACTTAAGGAAGGTAAGACTACCATTTAAGAAATGCAAGGCTACCACTTAAGGAAGGTAAGACTACCATTTAAGAAATGCATGGCTACCACTTAAGGAAGGTAAGTCTACCACTTAAGGAAGGTTAAGACTACCATTTAAGAAATGCAAGGCTACCACTTAAGGAAGGTAAGACTACCACTTAAGGAAGATAAGACTACCACTTAAGAAAGGCAAGGCTACCACTTAAGGAAGGTAAGACTACCACTTAAGGAAGGCAAGGCTACCACTTAAGGAAGGTAAGACTACCACTTAAGGAAGGCAAGGCTACCACTTAAGGAAGGTAAGACTGCCCTAATCCAAGTTAATTTTTGCACCCCCAATACCATGAGCTTCTATTTTTTTAATTAGTCTTTCATGTGGCACTGTATCAAAAGCTTTGCTAAAGTCAAGGTACACAACATCACAATCCTTACCACTATCAACTGCCTCAACAATGCTAGAATAAAAAGATAACAAATTTGTTAAACATGAACGGCCATTTATAAAACCATGTTGCGACTCAATAATTAATTTATGTTTTTCAAGATGAAGACGAATTATTTGCTATTATAGATTTGAGTAACTTTCCCACAATAGACGTTAGGCTAATTGGTCGATAGTTAGACGCAAGTGATCTATCTCCTTTCTTAAAAACTGGTATCACATTAGCAAGTTTCCAAAACTCTGGCACTCTGCCTGACTCTATTGATTTATTAAATATGGTTGACAGTGGGTCACAAAGCTCCTCTTTGCATTCTTTAAGCACCCTGGCAAACACTTCATCCGGCCCTGGGGATTTGTTTGGTTTGAGTTTTACTATTTGTTTAAGAACATCCTCCCTGGTAACTGCTAAACTCGTCAACCTGTCCTCGTCCCCACCCACATAGACTTGTTCGGCTGAAGGCATATTGTTAAGTTCCTCTTTAGTAAATACAGATACAAAATATTTATTAAAAATACTACTCATCTCTTCATCACTATCTGTTATTTGACCTGTCTCAGTTTTTAATGGACCTATCCTTTCCCTAGTCTTAGTACGATATAACTGAAAAAACCCTTTAGGATTTGTCTTTGCTTGCCCTGCTATGCAAACTTCATAGTTTCTTTTTGCTTTCCTTATCTCTTTTTTAACATTTCTAACCAGTTGTACGAATTCCTGTTCTAAAGTGACCTCCCCATTTATAATCCTTTTGTACCAAGCTCTCTTTTTACATGAAAGATATATATCTTTTTACATGAAAGATATATCTTGATATATAAAAGATATATATCTTTTACATGAAAGATATATATCATTATAGATATAATGCAATATCTTGCATTTGATTTGCAATATCTTTCTGCCGGCAATTGCAGACTGCCTCTTGCACCGTGCAATCGGCTGCCTCCACCTTCCTTTTTATAAATATTAACATGATAGGCGAGATAAACGTATTTTTTTTTATTTCGTAGATTTTATTAATAGTATACATCACATTATACATCAAAATATAACCTATTTAAAAATATTCTAAGCAAAGCCCAGGAATGTAGTATACCATATAAATTGAACAGATCGAATACTAATGATCCAAAGTGGATAACAAAGGATCTGAAGAACCTTATAGGTAAAAAGAGAGCGTGGTACAAAGGGATTAAGAATGGGGAAGTCTGTTTAGAACAGGAATTCGTACAACTGGTTAGAAATACTAAAAAATAGATAAGGAAAGCAAAAAGAAACTATGAAGTTCCCATAGCAGAGCAAGCAAAAACAAATCCTAAAGGGTTTTTCCAATTATACCGGACAAAGATTAGGAAAGAGATAGGTCCATTAAAAACTGAGACAGGTCAAATAACAGATAGTGATGAAGAGATTAGTATTTTTAATAAATATTTTGTATCTGTTAATAACACGGAGGGAGGGATGACCAATTAAGAGAATGACTGAGGCCTTCAGTCACCACGTAATCCAAAGTTATCCAACACACAATATGCTACTCTCGGAATGCACAATACACACAGCACCATATAAATATTAAAAGTAATGAAAATATTGAAAAGCAACTGTATCAAAGCCAAGTACACTTACCACAAATTGGTGTTCTAGTACTAGTAACTGAGTGAGGCTCCTAGGACAGGCCCCCATTTAATGTGACGGGAAAATGAAGGAGTGTAGATGTTCGGCAGTCCTCCTAATGGCTGGTGTCAATGCCTATCACATTTAAGAAAAAAAAGATCGACTGCTTGGCTGTTGTCTGTGGTAAAGTAAGGGAATACACGCAAAGCACATAGTATGAATAATGAAACTTTAATTAAACTGAAAGCAAATTAAAAACAAAGACAATTCCTTGGCTATGTACAGTGCAAATAAACAAGTCAAAAAATATAACATAAAAATTAAGAACAGGGATGACGTTACTCTATAATATAAAGACAAAATGAAATAAGCAGGTGCTGAGAAAAAAGCGCTAGCTGAGAAACATCCACCTGATAGACAGAGCGTATATCAGTTAGTTGTTCACAGCTTGAGAGCGCAAGATATTCTAACTTCAATGACTGGTTCAAGCCCAGACTTCGACTAAGTAGAGGGCGCTAAGGTGCAGGTGTGCAGTCGGCGGGACACCAATCAGAAGCAGGCAGGCTGTAATGGTAGTTTGCTGGTTGATGACGGTGGCGAGCCGGCATGGAGGGAGTGTGGAGTAGGGGGGAGTTTTGCCTCGTGGTCAAAACGTTATGTGCTACTGGTAGACGTATCTTGAAGGTAGCATCTTATTGTTGTATAT